GGACCCCTCATGCCTCCATAAATATAGCAAAATCTATATTCAAGCCTGAAGCTGTAACTCTGCATACTGTTAGACTCATAAAAACAAGCAGTCTGCTGACATCATTAGAAGTGGTGGCCTGATCCAATCACAGTGCTTCCCCATAGGATTGGCTGAGACTGACAAAGAGGCAGATCAGGGTCAGAGCCCGTATGATTCAAACACAGCCCTGGCCAATCAGCATCTCCTTATACAGATGAATTTCATTAATGAATCTCTATGAAGAAAGTTCAGTGTCTGCATGCAGAGGGAGGAGACACTGAATGTTTGGATGCGTTTTAGGCAGCCATGACACAGGAAGGATCTCTAACAGTCATCTAAGGAGTGGCCAGTGAAGTTATCACTAGGATGTAATGTAAAGACTGCATTTTCTCTGAAAAGACAGTGTTTACAGCAAAAAGCCTGACGGTAATGATTCTACTCACCAGAATAAATTCAATAAGCTGTAGTTGTTCTGGTGACTATAGTGTCCCTTTAAATATATTCATTGTCAGCCAATGTTTTGTTCCCATACATCCCACTTAAGTTTCCATACTTAAGTAAGAGTATATGAAAAGTAGTTAGGGTTGCCACCTTTCTTGGAAAAACATACCAGCCTTACTAATTTGCATAATTAAATATATATGGGTGACATCACATGATGTAAATCACAAGGAGTGACATAAGAGAAAATCCTGTAAAATCACCAAAAAACTACTTAGTTTGATTCTGCTGTATAGATGGATTCCTCCCAGTGCCCCCATGTCTCCCAGTGCCCTCATGACTCAGTGCCCCCATGTGTCGATTACTCTAGGTCTCAGTGTTCCTATGTATCAGTGTCTCAGTGACCCATGTCTCCCAGTGTCCCCTAGTGTCGTGTCCCCAGGTCTCCCAGTGATCCTATGTATCACAGTGTCTCAATGCCCCATGTCTCCATGTGTCCCCATGTATCCCAGGGTCCCCATATCACTAGGACTCTAGGAAGATGGGGAGACCTGGGGACATGGGGAGACCTAGGGACACGGAGACACCAGTGACACTGGGAGACTAGGGGACTCTGGCTGGGACACATGGGGACAATGGGAAAATAGGGGACACTTGAAGACATAGGGATACAGACACTAGAGACACTGGCTGGGGGACATGGGGAGATTGAGACATGGGGCACTGGGAGACATGGGGACATAGACACCAGGGCCACAGACACTAGGGACACTAGCTTGGAGACATGGGGACACTGTGACACTTGAGGCAATGAGAGACATGGAGGTACTAGAAGACATGGGGACAGTGAGACACTGGCAGACTGGGGGCACTGGGAGACTAGGGGTCACTGGGAGACTAGGGGGCACCGAGACACCAGGGACACTGGCTGGGAGACATGGGGACACTGTGTCCCCATGTGTCTGTGTCATAGTATGTCCCAATGTCCCTTAGTGCCTCAGTATCTGCCATAATGTCTCCCAGTGCCCCTTAGTGTCTCAGTGTCTGCCATAATGTCTCCCAGTGTCCCTTAGTGTCTGCCATAATGTCTCCCATTGTCCCTTAGTGCCTCAGTATCTGCCATAATGTCTCCCAGTGCCACTTAGTGTCTGCCATAATATCTCCCAGTGTCCCTTAGTGTCTGCCATAATGTCTCCCATTGTCCCTTAATGTCTCAGTGTCTGCCATGATGTCTCCCAGTGTCCCTTAGTGTCTCAGTGTCTGCCATAATGTCTCCCAGTGTCCCTTATTGTCTCAGTGTATGTCTCCTTGCAGCCTTTCCCCCATCCCTTACTTCCATGAGCTGTAGGCTGTCTCTGCAGGGTGGGAGTTGCTGTCTGGACTTTCTGTAGCTGCACCCCTGCGGATCAGTGAGTATAGAAAGGCGGGGGGGATATGCTGGAACTTCCTATCCCTGCCTGTCTCCACACACAGTGACCCCTACTGGCCAGTGCTGGTATTGCATAGTAATCTCTTGTTTATACTGATAAAAATACCAGCATTTCTATTGCCAGTATCACTGCAATATTGGCACTGCCAGGCAGCCCAAAATACTGGCTGTGCCAATAAAATAAAAGCCAGGTGGAATCCCTAAGAGTAGTGTGTGAAAAAAAAATGTAAAAAAAAAAAAATATATATATATATATATATATATATATATTTTTTTTTTAAATCAATGGGCCTATTCCATGGGCCTGGGCCTGGAGCTGCAGCTCCATTAGCCCCTATGTTAATCCGGCCCTGGAGCCAGGGTATTCCTGCTAACATAATCACTATAAAACACTGTAGTGGTTATCCTCTTTATGATTCACACAGATTGTCAAAACATAAGACATGGACCTGAATGAGTGTTAATATCCTACTTATAAAAAGACATTAAGGAAAGCACTAAGAACAAGGAGTCAGAAACTAGGAGACATTTATGGTATAAAGCTGTCTTTAGTGTGTTGAGGATTCCAAAAACTGTGTAACTCTATGACAAAAGTAATCAAAAGACATGGATGTACCTTGTTGTGGAAGGTTGGTGTAGGGAGTAAGTTGGTTATTAGGAAAAAATGTGGGTATATGAAGATAAAACATTATCTTTAAATTTGGCAAAACAGCCCAAATGTAAAGGATTTATTGTACAGAATAGATGTAAGACGACGGAGAATTAGTAAAAGAAAGCTTCTTGGTTAGTTTATATCAAACTTACTTGGCATTAGTTAAAAAAAATACTATAGTCACCCAGACCATTTCATCTCAATGAAGTGGTCTAGGTACAGTGCTCCTGTCCTTTCAGTAAAACCTTGTTGTTTTGTAGATACATTGCAGGGCTTAACACACCTCTAGTGGATTTCTTCCTGACAGCCCTTATAGGTTTCTTCCGTAGCAATGACAGAGTTTGACTCAGTAATGTGACATTCTACATCTGATAATAGGGAAGCATTAGAATCAATGCTTCCCTAAGAGAAACATTTGATTGGACAAGCATGGTGCTTACCACACACGCGCTTCCTGTTCTCATTGTTTCTCTGTAAGAAGTCTTGATTGGACGAAAAGATAAAAATCATACAGCCTCCATAATGGCTGTTGTAGTTGTTCAGAGAATTTCCAATGCAGCATAGAAAAGCGTAAAGATTCTACACGGAGTGACAGGTCCCCCTGTAATGATGTTTAAACTTCACAAAGGAGTTTGCGTTTGTATGAGTAATAATCACGAAGCGTATAATCGGTTGGGTAATAAATTAGTGTTCTGTAACATTCAATACAACAGACTCATTCCAGTAAGTAGTTTCCTGGGAAATTGTCTGTGTAAATAAATTATGTACAAAACATCTATTCATTTTACAATTCTCTGGCTGTTATTTTGTGGTAATGTAAAAAAAAAAACTGAATGAAAAGATATACAAAGGGAGGCTTGAAAAACCAAACACTAAAAATCTAATATGCAGTTATTTAAGGTAGTTCCAACCCACTCTAAATCTGCAAAATGTAAGAATTGTAACATTAACAAGCAATTTGCTGACCCAAAGAAAATAAACTGCTACATAATAAATTAGTAAAAAAAAAAGAAAAAATACGTACAAAGTAGCCAACACAGGATGGCAAAGCATCGTGGGCGTTTTAATTGTTTTTAGAGCCCAGGTACTAATCTCCATAACAAGTAAGTTCAGCTTGTATTACATGAAATATTATCTTTTATCTTGATGTCCTGTACAAACCATGGAAAACCCAATGCATGTGTTTGTTAAAGGGACACTCCAAGTACCATAACCACTACCGAATGTTGCTCCAAGGGTTCCCTAAACCACCTGCAAACAGGGGGGGACAGGGAAGAGCCTTAGCACCTGGCACCATAACTACTACTGCTTGCTAACCCTGGTGCGAATAGTGTCTATTAAAAGTGTAAAATGAATAGTGTCTGTTACAGGAGAAAAATTGAGGCATACAGGTCATGAAAACGCTGTGAAAAGGGGTCACAACTTGATGAGGGCTGTCAAAATATGTTAAAATGGAATATTCTGTGTTCTTTTTTTATAATTCTTTATTTTTGTAGTGCAGTTATTAGGTACAAACAGGCTTGAGGTACCCCAACGGCATTCCTCGAGCTTTGTGACATATTTCACAAGTGGGGTTAAAGTAGACAATGCACATTTTTTATAAAACAGGTACATGCGAAAACATTAAGCTTTTGTTAGTGTATGTTGCATTGAGATGACAGTAGTTGCTATGTCTAAGATGCTTTCCCAACCCTGTGCCGTAGAAAGCGGAGCGGTGGAGGTGGTACAAGTGGGCCCATTGTGTGGTGTGTCAGCGTATGAAATGCCTGAGTGCGTGCTGAAGGTGTAGTACCTGTACTCGTGTTTTGGAGGATTAACATAGAGATCCCAACTGTTGCTTAGTGTCTGTGATGAGGGGTGACGTATGGTTTACACATTTTAAACAGGCTTATGTGAGTTCTAGTCTATTTTTCACTGACAGGCTAGGCAGTCTGACCAAGCTAGGTGCATATGTATATTGGGTTACTCCAGCATGTTAGGCAAACATATTATGTTGAGAGCGATTATAAATTAGGCCACTCTGGCCAGCCAGGGAGACAGATCATGCCAAATATAAAAAAATAAAATAAAAAATAAAATAAAAAAATAAATAAATAAAATAAAAATAAATTATATCTTAGGCTATTCTGGCGGGCTAAGCTAACGCTTATGTTGAATAAGTTAAAGCAAAACATTTATGCCTTAGGCCACTCCGACAGGCCAGGGTGACATCTAGCTAAAACCAACTGTATTTGCAGTTATTCTGGTGGGTCAGGAATCGGCAGTGTCCAAGTCCTGGTGGTTGTCTCCATTGTTTTATCAGGGCAGGCAGGGTTCTGGTGGTAGCCTGTGGCATCCCGCCTCTGCGCGTTCTGTGCCGGCTGTCAGCCCACTCCATTTCGAGGCTGGGTTGTAGAGTCCTTCGCTGCAGGGGAGACAACCAGAAAGGAGGCGGCAAAGTAGTGGTGTCGGGTGGGCTCACGCTTCTCCGATGTGCTGGAGCGGTTTGTGGGCTGAGAGGTGCTCCGTCGCTGATCGGATGTCCGCATGTAGTGCGGCGTCTTCATTGCTGGTCGTGGCACGGTGTGTCGCCATCTTGGTGCAGGGTGCAGCATATGGTATGTGAGTCTTGCCGATATTGACGCACGTGGCGTCCGCCATCTTAGGTAGGGTGCCCCGGATCAGGCTGCTGATGTTGCTGGGCCCAAGCTGCCTTGCTGCTTTCGGTGTCACAGGGTGGGGACCGGGATCACCCCCGCGGGTCCAGAGGGGGGGGGGAACAGGGCCAGGTCCTCGCCGGTCCGGTCCTCCGGCCGGGCACTGTCAGGCAGGATAGCGGGGCAGCGGCCGTCCGCCCCGCTCACCGCCGAAGAAGGCCTCATCTGGAGTGGCAGTGTCTCCCCCAGGGGACTGCAACTCTGGGAGTCAGCCTCTCCCTGGGTCCAGTGGTCTCAGCACACGGAGGATTAGTCCTGTCGGTCTGCTATCCCAGGGTAAATCATGCTTTAAGGGCTTATAGAGTGGGAAAGTGCAGGAGCTGAGGTAGCTTGCGACCATCCAGCTCGGCGGTCCGGCCCCGCCCCCCCCCCATTCTGTGTTCTTTTGTCCCCTGTGGCAAATAAGAAATTTCAGAGGAACTGGTGGAGTCAAGAAGAGTTAAAGAGAAAGATCTCCCTGATAATTTAATAATTAGTGATATTACATGTGCAATACATTATATAAGGGTTGATTAAAGAGTAAATGAAACCAATCACTGCAGTCCCAACCCACCTACCACAACCACTTCACCCATTCTCATAATGCATCATCTTCTCAAGCACCAGTCACATTGCCCCAAAACTATTAACGGATTTATTTAACTAATCATTGTTAACAGGAGTAGTCCCAGAAGACTGGAAGTTAGCGAATGTTGTGCCCATTCACAAGAAAGGTAGTAGGTAGGAGTCTATGGAGACCACGTTAAAAGATAGGATTATTAAATATATAAATTCACTTGGATTTCAAGATCAAAGACAACATGGGTTTACTTCAGGGAGATCATGCCAAACTAATCTTACTGACTTTTTTGATTGGGTAACTAAAATAATAGATACTGGTAGTGCAGTAGACATTGCTTACCTAGATTTCAGTAAGACTTTTGACACTGTTGCACATAGAAGGCTTATCAATAAATTGCAATCTTTAAGTTTGGATTCCAATATTGTTGAATGGGTAAGGCAGTGGCTGAGTGACAGGCAACAGAGGGTTGTAGTTAATGGAATATATTTGAAGCTTGGACTTGTCACCAGTGGGGTACCTCTAGGATCTGTACTTGGACCCATTCTCTTTAATGTTTTTATTAGTGATATTGCAGAATGTATTGATGGTAAGGTATGTCTTTTTGCTGATGATACTAAGATATGAAACAGGGTTGATGTTTCAGGAGGGATAAGCCAAATGGCAAATTATTTAGGTAAACTAGAAAAATGGTCCGAGCTGTGGCAGCTGACATTTAATGTGGATAAGTGCAAGATAATACATCTTGGATGTAAAAACCCAAGGACAGAGTACAGAATATTTTATAAAGTCCTAACCTCAACATCCGAGGAAAGGGATTTAGGGGTGATCATTTCAGATGACTTAAAGGTAGGCAGACAATGTAATAGGGCAGCAGGAAATGCTAGCAGAATGCTTGGTTGGATAGGGAGAGGCATTGTACAGAACACTGGTGAGACCCTACTTGGAGTATTGTACGCAGTACTCGAGGCCATATCTCCAGAAGGATATTAATAGTTTGGAGAGAGTTCTGGTTCATGGATTGCAGTATAAAACTTACAAGGAAAAGTTAAAATATCTTAACATATGTTGCTTGGAGGAAAGACGAGACAGGGAGGATATGATAGAAACATTTAAATACATAAAGGGAATCAACACAGTAAAGGAGAAGACTATATTTAAAAGAAGAATAACTACTACAACAAGAGGACAAAATCTTAAATTAGAGGAGCAAAGGTTTAAAAATAATATCAGGAAGTATTACTTTACAGAGAGGGTAGTGGATGCATGGAACAGCCTTCCAGCTGAAGAGGTAGAGGTTAACACAGTGAAGGAGTTTAAGCATGCATGGGATAGGTATCTCCTAACTATAAGATAAGGTCGGGGAATAATGAAAGTATTTCGAAAATTGGGCAGATTAGATGGGCCGAATGGTTCTTATCTGTTGTTGCATTCTATGTTTCTATCCATAAAACCATCACCCCATCTCTATAACTGCACATAGAGAAGCAGCCACCCAAGGCTGTGGGTAGGCCCCATTGGCCTGTCCATCATTGTGCCAGTCTGTGCATAGTGCAACCTCCCTGAACATCTCTTGTGTGAGGCTCAGCTCCAGCCTGAGCAAGTCCATAGACAAATGTATATTTAGCCCATTGCTAGGGCCAGCTCTGATGCTGACAGTTTGATTGAACCCATTTATAATTTGAGGAAGTGATGTGTCATTTTGTGGGGCAGCAAATCCGAAATGCTGAGTGTAAAATATCCCAGTCATGCTGTTAGTCACCATAATCAGATGAATCATCAAGACTCATATATTTTAAAGTATTTGTCTTGTATTTTTAGCTTTATTTCCATTAAGAAATGCCTATCCTTTCCGTCCCTCCTTGCCTCATTGAATATAATTATAACAGAGTGATTGCATACTGCCAGCAGGGCAGCATTTATTTATTTATATAATATTTTACATAAAAATTAGCAAGATCTCAATATCCTCTGTTGTCATTGCAAGTATGGATGATGGGAATTTATCAACCAAATCCAAAAACAGCTAAACAGGCACTGTATTTTAGCATATTTTTTGAGTGTCTTTTGGAGAAGTAATATACTGAAAATCAATAGGTAAAAAAAGAATTGAGTGTAATAAAAAAAAAAACCCCACAGGAAACAAATTACAAATGAGTAAATTAAAATACTAAAAAGTATAGAATAGCAGCATATACTTTCTATTAAAAATAAATAAAAACTAAATAAATAACCCAACCCCCAGCCCAGATCTTATAATGTTATTCAGGTTCATTTAAACAAGTAAAAATGAACACTGTAGCATTAGGAGTATAAACCAGTTTAATGGTATAGTGGCCTTGTGTCCACCTCTTTTATTTGGTAGTAAAAAGCTGGAAAAAAACTCCTTTTACTTAGCTTTTCTTTCACAACGAGAATCCCTCGGCACAGTCGCCCACTCGTCTTTCCGTGATGTCATCCTAGAGGCGTCTCCAGAGTTCTGTTCAGATCCAATAAAGAACTTTGACAAAAAGATGCGCATGCGTGTGCATCCAATTAAATGCTTCTCATAGTACAGCATTAAATTCAGTGCATTTCTATGAGTTGCACTTGATGACGTTCCACGTCATGGACATTTTAGCTCACTTGAACGATTTGCTGCATAAGAAGTGCTTCTAGCAGCTGTCTGTAAGGGAACCGCTAGTGTTGTGTTTAACACTTTCTACAAAGCTGTAATGTTTTACATTGTGCGGTTAAAACTGCAGCGCTACTGCACCCACACCACTCCATTGAGAAAAGTGATCAGGGTGACTTTACTGGTTCTTTTAATACAAAACAAATGCTGCGGTATAACAACAGAGTTAGAGGGAAGGAAGGACAAGGCACTTAAAGTGTTTTACACAGCAGGCAGATTAATCATATTTTCAATTCAAATTTACTAAATCAGATCTCTTTGTTACACATATAAGAATCAAAGTTTTTTTTTTAACCAGGATACGTTTTAACGTATATGAATAATTTCACTATTACCCAACTAATTGTTATACATTTTATCAACCTTTCAAGGACAATCAGCTGTGCAAAATCAAATCAGTTTGACATGCAAATGGCTCTTTTTATCTTTAATGGCACAAGTGAGTTAAAACCAGCTTGAGACCTGAGCGGTGACTCTCTAAATTGGAAGTTATTTGAGTTGTTGTCTGTCTTGATTGTGATATTCTCTACTTCTTCCTGTAGCTTACTCCTTCATGCTAGGTAACTGACCTCGGCAGACCTCAATACTAATTAGCCCTGTCCAGGACCACTCTAGGAGAAAAATAAGCCTTTGCACTATTGAGCTGAATACCTTTTCCAGATAGGCGGGGTGCTTCCTCACTCCTACTATACCAGCATACCCATTTTAGGCTCTGGATCAAATGAGTAATATATCCCAAGGGGGGCACTAATATTTTGGGTAGAATTGATTATAAACAGATCTGTCTGTACTACATATGTTGTATTAACACGTGGAATATTGGTATCATTTTGACCAAGAGTCAACATATATATGTATAATTATACTTATTTTGGGTTAAAAGATTTCTGGAGCACAGCACTTTTTGGTTTATTTAGAATAGATTATATTAGAATTAGCTTTGGAACTGAAATGGAACTTTGCTTAAAATGGCACTTTCATGGGCAAATGTATTTTTAAATTTTTTTTATTGTCATATCCTATCACCCTAATTACTTTGTAAGTATGCTTCTTTTACGGCGGTGAATCTTCTTCCTATTCAGCACCATTTTTATGAGCCTGGCAGTGACATTTGTTCACTGCTCTATTCTTCCACCCGTGATTTCAATCTAGTGCATGCCTTTCTCGTCATTGCCCAAGATCGAGACTCAGTGTAACCGCGGCTGGTTCCCTTATTTACCACTATAACGTCTTAAAGCATAGAACTTAGTAGGGCTAACCATACAGATATCTTAGCCATAATTTTATATAGTTAGCAAGAGATCCTCTATTTAACATATTTAAATAATTTAGAATACCATATAAAATAAGGATTGTCTTGGAAGCAATAAAGTTTTGTCTTTTTGATATTTATTATTTAAAAATATAAATATAGACATATAAAATCCATTGCAATAATTTATAGCACAGTTTATAAGATTAAACTACCGTATATACTCGAGTATAAGCCGACCCGAATATAAGCCGAGGCCCCTAATTTTACCCCAAAAAACTGGGAAAACTTATTGACTCGAGTATAAGACTAGGGTGGGAAATGCAGCAGCTACTGGTAAATTTCTAAATAAAATTAGATCCTAAAAAAATTATATTAATTGAATATTTATTTACAGTGTGTGTATATGATGAATGCAGTGTGTGTGTATGAGTGCGCAGTGTGTGTATAAATGCAGTGTGTATATGAGTGCGCAGTGTGTGTGTATGAGTGCAGTGTATGTGTGTATGAATGCAGTGTGTGTGTATGAATGCAGTGTGTGTGTATGAGTGCAGTGTGTGTGTATGAGTGCAGTGTATGTGTGTATGAGTGCAGTGTATGTGTGTATGAATGCAGTGT